ATCCCCGGTACCCCCTGAGTGTGTGTGTGATCCCCGGTAGCCCCTGAGTGTGTGTGATCCCCGGTAGCCCCTGAGTGTGTGTGATCCCCGGTAGCCCCTGAGTGTGTGTGATCCCCGGTAGCCTACTCGGTAGGGCACTGTCCCGGAAAGACAGGGGTGCTGGGTTCGAATCCCGCTCGTGGATCCTTCTTTTGCAACATTGGTGCCTGGCAATGGCTCGAACCCACGACCCATCGCCAAAGGGTTTGTTCTGTTTTTCGTGATTGTGATGCTCTTCCTACTTGTCACCTCATTGCTATTGTTGATTGTGCCGGTGGCTGCTCTGATAGTCACTTCTCTGTTTTCAAGTGTTTTTCACGTACATGTGTGTGTGTGTGTGTGTGTGCGTGTGTGTGTGTGTGTGTGTGTGTGTGTGTGTGTGTGTGTGTGCGTGTGTGTGCCCACACCCTCTCTGTAGAGACAATTCACGCAACACAAACCACAACACATTCTACACTATCACTCTTCCTCCTTCCTCTTTTCGCACGCTCTTTCTTCACTAGGACGGTTTTTGATTTTATTGTTGCCTATTCTGCTGTTGCATGCGTATTAGCACTTCATTGACCCCGCTTGTTCTTCCTTCTTCATTCCATTCGGCCTAAGTGAAGACTAGCCAAGCTTGATTGGCGATGTCGACGCGAAAAGGCTGATAATAATATTCATAGGGAATGGAAAAGGGAAAAAGTCGGAAGGAAAAATAGATCATACTTCAAAACTACTTTGGTTGCATTTGTTTGGTCATTCCCGAATGGGCATGGAATGACGTCGGTACCCATCGCGGAATCGGAACGAGCGTAGCAAACAAACGCGCTGGCATGCATTCGGGAATCTGGCAAAGGTTTTGCGCCACTCTGGAAACGAAACGACGGTCGAATGTGTGTGTGTGTGTTTTTAGTATGAGAATTTACCTGTTGTTTGCAGCCTTGCGACTACTCACTACTGCATGCCAGTCTTGGTAGTTGCTATTTGCTTCTGTAAATTTCTGCATGTCCCGACGACAGTCATGATGAAGGAGCGGCCAAACACGGCATAGATCAACGAGCGCCCGTACCTTGGGTGCCTGCAGGCGGCGTTGGCCGCCACTTCATCATGCTCTTCGACCTCGTATCAGTCACAGAAACGTCTATAGCTCTCGTGTTTTTTTGACAGAGACGAGGCACTGTTGTAAGAAGAAGTGAAGTGGCGGGCTCGGTGCCTCTTTGGCTCACTATGTGCTATGGCTAGTCGGGCTAGAAAAATAGTTCTGGCTTGCCTCCCTGTGATTCTAGAGGTCCTGCTCGACGACGATGAAGAGCTGAGGTCATCAACGATCCCGGGCGAACACTTTCTCAGGCAGCGAAGGGTCAAAATACCACGAACACTTTACCATGCTGAGGTTACAGTACCACTGCCAGCCTATACCCTGGACGATGTCCGCCAACATTTCTGTATCAATAATAGCGTTTGAAGTTTTGTTGGAGAGGTATGCAGCAGCGACGAAGCCCCTCCGCACAATTTCATTCCGCTCGGAATGAGACCTCATTCCACTTTTCTTAGGAATCGCCAGAATCGATTGTGCCCTCTTCATTCCGCGACCGGAATCGGAATTGCACCGAACAAACGCTGTTCAGTGCATCAACAAAATGCTCCGGAAAAGCAAAACACGGTGGAATGACTTTGGAATGGTGGCGGAATGGCACCGAACAAACGCAACTTTATAATGATTTCTTCACTGAATTTATCACTTACATTTCGTAGCAGTAACGGATATTAAAAGTACTTAATTAAAGGCTGCTGTGATGCTACATATCCCTTTGTTTCATTGGTTCTACTTCAGTAGTTGCCTGTACTTTCACACGAGAAAGCATGAAATGTGTTTGTAAAATCCTCGAGTCCTACTGCTTCTTGTTGCGAGTTTGAAGTGTCTTTCCTCCACAGTCGTCAGTGGAAACGTTCAAATTTTCAGAACACCATCTTTTCCAAGCCGGATTAGTGTACTTACTAACTCTGCCTTGCTAGCCCGCAAGCTGTTTAAGTCGCTGACAGTGCTCTGTAGGTATAATATACACACACATACACACATACATGAACACACATGTATACACACACGCACATATACGTGCACATGCACATGCACACACACACACACACGGTCATGGTAAACACTGCCATTACGGTCACGTGTCCCCTTGCGGGGCCGACAATATGGAACAACGAGTGACGGCAGTCCGCTGAGAGAGAGGTACTAGGTCAGGGACTCGGGGACCATGTTCGAGAGAGCCATGTCTGGCAGCTATACACACACACACACACACACACACACACACACACACACACACACACACACACACACACACACACACACACAGATGCATGCACGCACACACATAGAAACACACACACATACATATACGTACTCACAGTGACAGTGACAATAGCAGACTACAATTCTATTATTATTTACCCTCTGGCTCACAACCAGGGTTCAGAATTGGGTATAGTGATACACTATCTGTTGCAGTCCGCCATTCAAACCAGGGTTACTTCAAGACTATAATGTAGCCTGACATTTGGAATCTGTGTGGCAAAGACAGTGACGAGTTACTAGTAGTCTTAGAACGTACTACCGTATTTTCCCGTAAGTTAGTACGTACTAACTATTGTTACTTTCGAACTTAGCAGCCACATGAGTACTAACTTTCGGGGGTGGTACTATCTTTCGGGGAGTACTTTTTTATCGGGGGTATATGACACGCAGTGGGAATCCTGCGCAACTCTAGTGACGTAGTGTCCGTGCATATGATGTATGTACTGTACGGTGTCTGTACATGTAGGACGGGTACGAACTTACTAGGGAGGTTTAGTCCCACGTAATCCGTGGGTACTTTACGTGTGTGTACCACGTGATACTCAGTGACCCACGTACAGACGTTTTCTGATTCACGGCATACCGTGTATGGAGGCTCACCCACGTTCCGCCAGAACGTGGGTGAAAATCAGAATGGAGCGCATTGTGCGAGCTATGAGGGTGCTCAGCTGAAGACGTTTCCGAAGCACGAAATCGAAATATTCGATGAGCTTCTAAGGCCCGGGTAGCTTCGTCTTTGACCCGGTTTGGGCCTTTCGCTTCATGCTTTTGTTTGTTCCGTGTGACTAAACACAACATTGCAAGCAGCTGTGTGGAGCCATGTTTGTGGACATGAGCAAGGCCTTCGACCGCGTTCAGCATAGCAAGCTCGTGCAGGAACTGGCTTCAGTTGGCGTCGGAGGTGTGGCATTGCGTTGGTTCGCAGACTACCTTACTTGGAGAACCCAGCAGGTCGTTGTCGGCGATGCCCGAGGCAGTACAGAGCCCTGCTCACGTGGTGTACCACAAGGCTCCGTGTTAGGCCCCTTACTTTTCTGCATTTATATCCGGTGTACCCCTCAGAAATTTCAACATTGCCGTGCTCTCCTGTTCGCGGACGACATCGCGTTCTACGTCATTGGTCGCAAGGTTTCAACCGTGCTCAGAATGCTGCAGACAGATCTCTTGAACCTGGAGGACTTCCTCAGCGAGCGGGGACTGGTGCTGAATCCCAAAAAGTCTCAGCTACTGCTGCTCAGACGACCTACTGCGCAACTGGACGTGATCCCCAGCATCACCTGCAAAGGCACCGTAATCCCCGAGTCCAGCCATGTTCTGTACCTTGGCCTCCTATTGGACTCGTCGCTCAGCTTCGAGCAGCAGGTTGAGTGTGTGTGCGCAAAAGCACAGTGCAAGGTTGCCTCATTCCGCCACGGGCGCCGCGATGTCTCCATGACCGGCCGCCGCATGTTTTACCTGACAATTGTCCAGAGTACCTTGGACTATGCCAGCACATGTTATGTTCACTGCTTGTCTGCTAAACTCAGAGACAAACTTGAGTCAACCAGCAATAGGTGCCTAAGGCGAGTGTTTGGCCATGATCAGTATACTTCTATCGATTTCATTCTCACCAAATATAACCTGTATACTTTCTCTAGCCGTGTAAACTTGAAGCTGGGGGAACTGTCTTTCGGGGTGATAACCTCGGCAGTGGAAAGTGTATTTTTTATAGGGGGTACTAAGTCATTGGGGAGAACTAACTTACGGGGAAATACGGTAGTAGTACACGGACGAGAAGAACTTACGTCCCATGCGGGTTTGCGTGCGCTGGACTGTGCCTGTGAGGTGCTTCCCTGGCGGTGTGTCTTGCTACTACCGACTTTGCCAGCGGTGGAGGTCTTGTGACCGCTAGTGCCGTTATGCCAAGCGCTGGACAGCGACATGCTATTGGTGTACTGCTAGTCTGGGCCCAGGCTCGAATAATACCGTAATTATTACGATAGGCGAACGAAGAATACAAGTACGGAAACCAGCAACAGCCGGAGCCGCTTGTAGTCGCAGGACGGTGAACGAACTGCCTAGGACGCCAGCAACTCGTTGCGTTTCTCTTCTTTCTTGCACTCAGTAAACGACTTGGCCTTTCTTTTGAAAGAAACTAACTACATGTTTGTATTTTATATCAAAAATACTTTGCAAAAATAGGAAGCTACATGTAGCAGCTTTTGGCTTTTCATTTTCAACTGTTCCCGCGCCTAGCTCGTCGACGTCAGCGCTGAGAGTCAGACTGAGACAGACTCAGTGAGAGTCTGGCCTATCCTAGGCATAGCAATAGGATACTGCCGCGGACATGGAAATCCAGTCGATTGACCGGGGCCGGCGCCCTCAACGCCTACATAAGTCGTTGCATGCAGTGCACGACTGACTGTAATCATGGTAATGATTATGTTGATGGCCGATGCGACCAGCAGCAGCGATACGTGCTACAGTGGTCCCTCTATAATCCGGCACCATTTGTACCACGAAAATCTGCTGGATTAGGGAGGGTGCTGGATTAACAAATCTGATTTACTGCTGCAATGTGCATGAAGAGGACATTTTGGCTACTGAAAATTGTGCTGGTTTATCGAGGGTGCTGGATTATAAAGTGCCGGATTAGAGAGGGACGACTGTATACCGTACGGCTGCATCGCCAGCGCCCTGGGGCCGCTAGACGTGCGACCGGATTTCCATGTCCACGACAGTAGTACTAGCGTCACTTGCGCTCCTACTCCTACTCCATCCTACATTTACTTTTTTGTAGTCCTACTCCTATATATATGGCCTAGTCCTACAAAGACTACAAGGCTACATTATTAATACATAGTCCTACTGCCAGTACTGAGTACTGGCAGTACTGCGCCTAAATCATTGTACTTTGTACTGTCACTTGTCAGAGCTCAGCACTACCATGACCATGATGACTACTGAGTACTGGCAGTCTGGCAGTACTGCCACTATGTACTACGGCACTAGTGCACTACTGGCACTAGTCACGTGCACAGGCCGAGACCAAGGCTAGCATGGCAGTCAACCATGTAGATCTGCCATGGCATCGTCTACCATGGTCTACGACTGCATCATGACTCATGTGCATGCACTCCATACTCGGCTCATAATAAATTATTATTATCAGCTCAGGCTTTGCTACACTTGACGCACGGCGCAGAGCACCGTCATGGAACTTTTCCCGGCAGTGGCAGTTGCCCATTTTTGTTGTTCTCCTGACTCCTGCTCTTGACAGTGGTGCCTGGCGCAGTGGTAGGCGCATTATGCAGTGCGATTTGCGACAGCACGGGAAAAGAGCGTACTAGTACAGTTTTTTTTGCTTCTTTCAGTTTGTTTGCATCAATCAACAGTCACTAGTAGAACAAGAGCGGAGAGATTGAGAGCAAGAGGCGATCACTCGCAGTGCAGTTGAACCTGGAGAGCAGAGTACACGTTGTCTGTGAGCGCCCGAGGAAGTGCCGAAAGGGAAGATGACGACGGTTCGCCGAGCTGTGTAAGTAAAAGTTTGGCTATTTTCTGCTTGGCTTGGACGAGCGATGTTGGATCAAAATGTGTCTTTCACCGCTCGCGTCGTGTGTTGTGCAGGAAAAACGTAGTGGGAAACTACAGCGATATTCAAGTAAAGGTCAGAGAAGCAACTTCCAATGACCCATGGGGACCGTCGGGTGCGTTGATGAGCGACATCGCGGATGCCACGTACAATGTGTAAGCGCCAACAATGGGTATTATCCTGCTTGCTTGCATACCATTCTGGCTGCTGCTTCGTTCCTTCTATTTTTGTTCTGCAACTGACCAGCACAGGTCAATACCACAGGGTGTCTGTGCCCGTGGACCATGTGCACCGCTAATCCTAGCATTGCTTCGCCGGTTTCATAGGATTGGAATTTTCATTTTGCTGCCAATCTCATTGTTGTTGTCTTTCTTGTTTCCTTTGGGTGTCGCAGAATCGCATTTGATGACATAATTAGTCTTCTATGGAGACGACTGAACGACAGCGGCAAGAACTGGAGGCACGTTTACAAGGTAAATGGCCTGGTACTAGTATTTTAGTTGTTTGGTTAGCACCATCGCTTTTTTTCTCCTTCAGCAGCGTGTGTGGAAACAGTACACAATTTCTTGTGCTCAGTGATTGTTGACATTGTTGTAACCGGTCCCCAGTGCAGTTCGGCAGTGACTTTACTCCGGACACACTTACTATGCAGGTGACACTGCTGAACTGAAGGTACCAGGACATCGTCGACAAGATATCAAAAGTGAGGTTGAGACGTGGCTGTTATTCGTGATTATAAAATAATTATCGTCGCCAACCCACACTGTATACATCACCAGGCGGATTCCTGCCAGCTTGCGAAGCGCATAGGAACAAATTATGCGCTTCCTGCGTTTTGAGCGTTTCACCAATCGGTCCAATGTCGCCCACCCGTACCCGCGCTGCAGCTGTATGTGTTTGGGTACGTGGATGGTGGGCAGTGGAGAGAGCGGGCGCTAGATGCTCGTCCTCGCCGTGTCCACTGAATGGAAAATGCCTGCTTGGCCTGCTGGATCAATGGCTGCTGCCGCGTCAGTACTTCCGCACGGCCGGTGTTTGAAAGTGTGCTCTCCTCGTGTCTTCATGTGATGGAAGCATGCCTGCCTGGGCTTCACCGCTCGCGCTCGAATTTGTGTCTTTCGCTTCCATCCGATCGCTGCGAAGCTGCAGAACAGTAACATAAATTCATAATCATTACTAACAATAACAATAACCATGATAACATGCCTGGACCATGTTCACTGGATCCATGGAACGGAGGGCGAACCGCGATCGAGTATTGTACTGTGTGGTGTTAGCTCCAGCGTACACTGTGAAACCGGCGACACAACTCTCCGAAAACAACGACTTCTGAAGTTTTGTTGACTTCCCCAGGGGACGTGATCACCAAGCAGCTTGACAAGCAAGCGAGACTTATGCTCGCCCAGTCAGTGTGGCTGGATATCTGTTTCCTTTGGCTTTGTGGGACGCAACGACGCTCCTTTTGAAATGGAGTGTTGTGGCTGAGGTCAAGCGCTGTCACTCTCAAACTGCGATTTCCTTTGCTTTTGCTCCAAACTTGTATCTGCACAGTTCACTTGGCCACTGTACTAGCATGTGACTAGGTGTCGCACAGTGACACTGTGCATTGCATTGAGGAGGCTTGATTGAATGGAGAAGAGTGCAGATGGAGACATCCACATGCCTCAGTATGAATGTTGAATTACCTGATTGTTTGTCTGGCAACCAACAAGTCAATGGAGTCATACAACACTGCATCATAATAATTATATAATACAATAATCATGTAACGCTCGAAAATCGAGTTGAAATCGTATGTCCCCTGCACGTATAACAGCTTCAGCCTCCGACTCTCCGAACAGTACCGGTAAATCCGAAATAATGTGCTGCTGAACGTAATACTGGTAACACAGTTTATTGTTGTGATCATTGGCAAGTTTCCTAAGAACTGAAGATACAGAAGGCCTGCATTGGACTATTTCCATTTCCTAATTGCAAGCAGTCAATTTCTAAGATGTACAAGTGTTCCTCTTGGCATGTATCAGCAAATTGACATCTTATTCACCAGGGAGATACTTTGCCTGCTGTACATGTACTTACACATGCTGTCTGAAAGCAGCCAATCAGAGTAGCCATGGAGCCAGGCACCGCCTCAGCTGTTGCCGAATCCCTCTCTGGCACACAGGGAAGAGGAAAGTGTTCCTCTTGTGGAAGTGCAAACTTATGAACTTAAGCGGTGTCTTGCGCACACCCCGGAGGCAGTCCCTGGCTGACAATTGTTCTGCAGTGGTGTGATAGCCGTGTTCGGGAAACACCCCTGGCGTGTGTATGTCCCGTATCTAGTGGCAGTGACCACTTAATAGTCTGAACATACTAGTCCAAAGCCGAGCATGAAGCAAGCACGCACTGAAGAGCTGCTGTTTTCATCTTTGTTCTGTTCTGCTATCCAGGCACTGACAGTTTTAGACTACATTCTGAAAACGGGCAGCGAACGAGTCTTTGATCACTGCAAAGACAACATCTTCACCATCCAGACCCTGAAGGATTTTGTCTTCATCGATAAGGAAGGAAAGGATCAGGGAACTAATGGTACGTTGGCAGCATCATTCGCCTACAATAAAGCCTTTGCATAACTGATAGACATTATACTAGTGCCCTGGTGCATAACTTGTTTCTTTGAAGTTCATTCTTGAAGACAGATATGTTTCCAGTCATTTGATCTCGGATATTATGTACGTCGGCTACAAGCAGGACTGATTTCACGTTCCACACCTGCTCACTGTTTCACGGCCTCGGCGATTCCTAGAAGAGGAGCAAGCATGCACGAATGGCTTTGCAGTTGTACCCAAGGTCGATGAAACCGTAGTGGTAATGGCGCCTGATGTATTGCATTCTGGTAGTCTGTACGTGTGTACTGTACCAGCTTCTTACAGGGATACACTTCAAACATAAGGTTCTAAAACCATTGCTGGTGTGCTCATTTTTTGATTTGTTGGATGCAGTGAGAGAAAAGTCAAAGCACCTTGTACAGCTGCTGAAGGATGAGGAGAGGCTCAAATATGATAGATCAAAAGCCATCAAGGTACGTTTCTTGCACAGGCGGAAAGGTGGCCATGTTCAGAGCATAGCCTTGTTATTATTAATATTATTTAAATTTTGAATAGGGCAATCCCCACAGGCCTAAGGTCTTTTTACAGGGTACCCTAAATGATGCATTTGGCAGGAAGAGTTGCAGACTTTCATCATTGCCCAGGGACGTAGTAGCCGGCTAGTCAGTTTTGGCCGAATGCTCCACCTTTCGATCATTCGACCATGTTTTGGTGGTGAAGAACGCACAACATAGTATGAGAGTAGCTAACCAGCGACTTATCCATCCACAGTTATAGCGTGAATAGTGCAATGTTAGTAGGGGGTGCCTATGACTTTGTATGATACCACACTGATCAGGGTATATTCAGCCGGCAACATCCGAGCCTGTAGCCATCCGGAAGATACTCCAGTTAGTGTTACAGGTCAGACTTAGAACACCATGGTACCCGAGCCACCAGTCAGTGTGTGATATCATAGCCAACAACTATTGTAGTATTTGTACACAGGAACTGTACATAGGAACTGTACATGTATGTGTATGTATGTGTGTTTGCAGGCAAAAGACCGGTTTCACGCCGCACTGCCTGTGGGTAGCACTCACTCTAAACAGCGGCGGAGCAGTCTTGAATCATCGAGCAGATCCGGAACTCGCGTAGAAAGGTACGCATGAAACTTACATGCAATGGCACCATGATGAGACTGGTCACGCTGTACTTCAGAGCGTGAGATGCTGGTGTACTTATGCACATTGTATTGTATAGGTAGCATGAAGATCTATAGATTTCTAGGCACATGTGCACTTACATTTACATAACATGCTTGCTCAATATGCCGTGACGTAGTACTTCAGAAGTACATTTCCACATGGATCTCGGACCTCTTGCAAAGCCATGGGTCCGTCTTCGCGTACTAGTACTATGTACTGCTTCAAAAGTATACTTACCTGGTTGTGTTGTGTCCCCATGCGGTACACGTGTGGTTGCTATGTGCCTGTGTGGACCCTGCAGCCCCGCTACAACCACTAGCCTGCAAACCAGTCCAAACAACACTGGTAGCAAGTCCTGGCAGACTGAACGCCGCGCCAATAGCTCATCGCCAGCCGCAGCTGCTGGCACTCGTGCACCTGTTCAACGGTAAGTTGCCCGCCTTGTGTTCATACGACTTCCAGTCTGCATGGTGCCCGCCTTGTGTTCATACGACTTCCAGTCTGCATGGTTTCAGTTCAAACAGGAGCAGTGAATCCAGAAACGCTCCAAGTTGGATCAACTGAACCTGACCCCTGTAGTGGGCAAAACCCTGTCACCTGCGACTTCTTCAAACCCTTTATCCTGGTGCAAACTGCTATCTGAAACCACATGTCTGTCCGTCTAGGAAGACGTTTTTCTTTTAGGTCTTGAGAGAAATCTCTTCCATTATGTTGAAGAACAGCACTGGTCAGGGGTTAATCAGGTTGTGCTCTCCTTCCTTTCCAATTCCCTGTCCACAGGCAGGGGACACTTAGCTCTGACATGGCACGTGCTAAGCCCTCCAGCGAACAAGAGGAAGCGCTACAGCTGGAACTGGCCATGGCGTTGAGTCGGCAAGACGCAGAGCAGGAAGTAAAAGCAAAGTATGTTGGCAAAAGGAATTAAAAGATCGCGCTGACATTGTCATCGCATGTGTGCGTGTGGACATGGCAGTGTGAACATATAAGATGAGCTTGACTACAGCGGTCAATACTTGATATTGTATCAATTTGCTCTGTCAGTATTTGTTGATCTGTGATGCGATTAGGCAAGTGAAGATGTTTTTATCTGCAAATGTTATCCAGCTTGAGGTGCACAGAGGCACCAGGAGATGATAACCGTAGCAAATGGAGTCGCCTCAAAAGGAAGTTGCAAGGATTAGGTCAGCCTGATAACAGAGCAGACTTATCTGCTAATTGAGCCAGCCTTGTGCCATGTACATTGGGCATTGCCTGACCTGCAGATGTGCAGGAGATGGAATTGCAGTGCGAACTTTGTTTTCATTTCGTTTCAACGTCACGTGCATCGACAATTCCGTATCCTGTGCTGATGCGGGCTTATCAATGTTATCATTATGTGTTGTGCAGGGAACGGGAAGAGGATGATCTCAAAACTGTACTGCAGGCCACATGTCCGGCTGATCCATTCTTCTCCACCGCCACCACCACCGACGGTGCAAGTAAGGCATGTTGTGGAAGTGCTGCATGGTCATGTACTTTACCAGTGACCGCCACTAGACATACAATGGGCTGTTGTTTGTTGGGCTGGGGCACTCATCCGCTCTTGGGCCGACGGCAATAACACCATACGTGCAGTGCCTTGTTACCAGCCTTAATAATAATAATAATTCGCGGGATTCGCGTTGGCATCGCTTGAATGTTCAGAAACACACAAACTAGCCTTCGCTTCCGCAGGCCACCACTATGCCTATGCCTTGCACACCTTAGTGGCGAATGCAGACCTCACAAGTGAGTCAGGGGAGAGTAGGTGAGTCTCTCAACCAATCGGGCGTGTAACGGCCCATAACCCTGTAAACTGCATCCTTGTTACCCTCACTCCGAGCTGTGAGTACCCAGTTGACCGTGGGTGTCGGCGCAGTTCACCACGCATAAAAAGTCTTTACTCACGTAAAAAGTCTTGACACGCTCCCTGCTACCAGCGCGGGTCTCGAACTCGGGACCTCATGATTCGCAGGCAGGCCTGCAAACCAATCGGCCATATGCGTTGGTCACGCCTTCTTAGCACTATAAAACCTAAAAGTGTGCACCATGGAGTCGTAGTGTACAAGGAACGACGCGAGATCATATTACCCGAAGCGATGTGCGTTTTGACCCTGGATTAGGAAGCTCTACTTAATCGGTGGTCTATGCAACTCATGATCGTGATCGCGGCCTTAACCTGCTCACACCAAGCGCGGCCGAGACAAGTGATGCCGTATTTGAGCATGTACAAACCAGGCCTTCCCCAGTGGCGACTGCAATGGGCAACGCGGGAGCGAAATCCCTATTGTGTAGCATTAGAGCGGCCCGTGTTGGGTCTGCCTGTGGGCAACAACTCCCTGGAGAGTGGTGCACACATACAGCTGTGTGGATTGCAGCAGCACTCTGCACAAGACAGGAGCAAAGCAAAGTTGATCACAGGAACATTTGGGAAAATAGCAACACCGGTGCTTGATTTCAGGTACGTGCACCGCTCTTTACTGGGGCACGTTGTTGAACCATAACTGTGCACTGCAGCATATTCACAAACGGCTCGCCTGCCCTCGTGTTTGTTCTCATGTCCTTTCCATGCAGCTGCTCGGTCTGCAGCTCAGGCCACCAATGACCCGTGGGGTGGCGCTGCTAGTACACAATTGGCTCCACCTGGTCAAGCAGCGGCAGTCGCATCAGCTCCAGCATCAGCCTCTGCCTGGGAGAACTTTGACGACCGGAAGCATGTTGTAGTCGAGTAAGTGTCAGTCCACCTTCCAAAGTTCCAGCTTAGGACTTTAGCCTTTTCGCCACAGCTCCATTACTAAATACATGTACGGCTGGCTATAGTGTTGGTGCTGGTGACAGCAGCTATCAGTACAATCACGTATAGCCGAACCATTGACTGTACACAAGGTGCTACAGTACTACAGTGCATGATTGTACTCATTGTGTATCCGGTGTGCCGTCATGTACAGGGAAGTATCTTGTATTACACTGGTTGTAAGCTCCTGATATCCAAAGGCACATGAATTGCACTACTGGGTAGTAATAAAACACACTCCCCATCCCATCAGCAAGTCAGTGCCGAGGTATTATCGTGTGTGTTGTTACTGTTGTACATTTGCTTACAGCGCTGACCCGTGGGGAACCAACACCAAGGTCTCGCCTGCTGCTGCGGCAGCAGCTCCTCCTGCCACCGCCATGCCACCGAACAGTGTAACGCCCGAGCTCTTTCCTAGCTCCAACGGTTTTGGCTCGCCGCGCGTTACTGCGCGCGACCCCGATGTGCCTGCTGCCCCCGCTGCGCCCGCAAGTTTCGACCCGCGTCCACTGGATATTGGTATGAACTCCACGCGGCCAGAGGTATGTATTTCTGCACTTTGGCTCCTGCCTGTATGTCGGAGCGCTGGGCATGGCTTGTTCAAATTCAACAAAGATGTGTTGTCTACTGTACAATTCAGTGTTGTTGGGTCTGTTGCAGGCCATTCACGGGTGTTGTTGCCTGTGAAGATTGCTTGTCGTGCTGCCCAAGATTGGAATACCGGGCTATTAGTTCTTAGCAAGCCACCATGGGCACAACTTGTCAACCTCAGCAACAGAGGAATCGGCCGAGTAGTCCAAAGCAGATCATGTATACGCGATGTGCATGTAGTCTCCTTCGGCACTCACCGGGTCTGTGTGCTGCTGTGCTTGCTTTCCAGGAGCCCAAATCGCTTGAGAAGAAGTTCCTTGGCGAGCATGGCACTCTGGTCAACTTGGACGCCATCGGTGGGCAGGTGCCTGTCGCTGCTGCTCCCAGTGCTGCTGCTGCCAATCCCTTTAGTCAAGGCCTGCTATCCCCACCTGGCACCGGAGTGAGAACAGCCCAGAACCCATTCCAGAAGGATAAGCCGCAGAACAAGAGTTTGAATGAAATGCGCACAAAGGAGTTTCAATCTGGCGATGGCGGAAGTAAGTCCTTTGGTGAATTAGTTAGTGAGTGAGTGTGTGTATGTGCGGGAGGGGGTATATATTTTTTAGTTTAGTTAGTTTTATTCCAAGCAATACATGGCTGGGGCAGCGAACGACCACTTTGCGTGGCAATTGCAGGGTTTTCATAGCCCATTTGTTGGTGTTCCGCGGCAATTGTTCATGTTGTAGGGACCAGCCTTGGGCATGACCAAATAAGTCCATTGAAAATCATCCTTTGCTTCATAAAATCGAGGAGGGCGGGCAGATTTTATAATTGTAATAATATTACACCGAGGCAGAATAACTCTTTTGGCAACAAATCACTACTTTTCATTCGACAGCACATTGGCTTGGCCCTAGAGTGAATACTTCATGCATACACATAGGTAATAGCATTTTGTACACACAAATACGTGATCCACTGCCAGGTACAGATCATCTCATGCATTCACGTACCTACACACTCTGACTGTCTGTCTGTATGTACGTCTCTCTCTCTCACTTTCTTCTGTTCTTCCTCTCTCTTCCTGTTGTAGGTCTACTTCCAGCACCGCTGGTACCAGAAAGCCAGTCAGACGTGCGCCGCTCCAGTGTGCCTTACGTCACTCCAGGCCGCACAATCGGCCCCGGTGGATCACCTGTAATGCCTACTAACCGTATGATGCCAATGGCTGCTGGTGTAGGCATGCAGCAGCCAGTGCAGATGGTCCCAGCCATGGTGCCTATGCAGCCAGCAATGGCTGGTTATGGCGCGGCGGCAAATCCTTTCATGGCCACAGCGAATGCTGGGCGCAACCCGAATGGATTCTATTGATGTAACCGCCGTGCATGCGCATCCACGCATCCACGCATGCCGGTCATTATTGGCAGCCTCCTGGAAAGTATGTAGATACATGTGTCAGGCTGAGCTGTAATTTAGCTCAAACATTGCGCAGTGGTAAACCGCTGTAGACCCGTAACTGTACATTTCTACCTCGTTTTACCACATCTACATTTTTGAAACTTCGAAGTAGCCCGGAATACCTCCATGATAAAGCTTGGAAATGTATATTCACGTTGCACAAAGTCACAAAAATAAGCTCCCATCTGTAGTGCTCACTAGAAGGCACCAACGGGCACCTATGCTTTTTCCCTGTAGTATTGCCTTGAACAGGTAAGAGTGTGTCCCTTCACCTACAGTGTGTCACCCACCTCTGTACATTTCCCCCGTAGGTATTGAAACCGTGTTCTTCAAGTTATTTCCTACGCATTGTTCTGTCGTCACTTGGAGCACCTGCCATCAAGTGTTGTAACTGTCCATTCCGACCAGGGAGTTTTTAAAATACTCTTCTGTACGCAACGTTCTGAGTGATTTGCAAACTAACGCTACCGAACAACACCAAGATCACGAAACCCCCCGCTACCACCGCTTGTGTGCTGTTGCTGCTGCTGCTAATTCTGAGATGTAAAAGAACGCTGAACAACGCTTGTGTATGCATGTTTGTGTCGGATGCTATTTCTTGTGTTTCTGTTATCAGTGTATTTACTGTTTCAATAAGTTCTTTTTTACGTAGGTGATGGCAGGCTGGTACTTGACAATACTTAAGTCAGAGGTTGTGCTTGTGTATGTTGCTGGTCATCGGGGTAGAACGCAGGGAGTACTAATCTTGCACAACACCCTGGTAGAACGCAGGGAGTACTAATCTTGCACAACACCCTGGTAGAACCCAGGGAGTACTAATCTTGCACAACACCCTGGTAGAACGCAGGGAGTACTAATCTTGCACAACACCCTGGTAGAACGCAGGGAGTACTAATCTTGCACAACACCCTGGTAGAACGCAGGGAGTACTAATCTTGCACAACACCCTGGTAGAAAGCAGGGAGTACTTGCACAACACCCTGGTAGAAAGCAGGGAGTACTTGCACAACACCCTGGTAGAAAGCTTTGGTCAGTACCTGGTGTGCTGAGCTTGTACCCAGACAATACACCTTGTGCGTGAGTGAATGAGTGAGTGACTGCGACCATACTGCGACCACACGTTTACTCGTCATCTCAGGGTACTAGACCGTCGTCCCACATGACATGACCACCTGCGCTGCACCTGAAGCAGGACCAAACAGGTCTAACCTCCACCAAGAGTACATAAACCCCCAGCTACGGTACGTAAGCCCCAGGCCCAGGCCCAGGGCTTAGGGGTGGATAGTCATGCTCCTGGCTCCAGCCATATAGCAGCCTGGATAAGGCAAAGTACCTGCACACATGTACATGTACTTGCCATTGTAGTGATTGTGTTTGGGGTTTGGGGATGAACAGTGTCAGTCAGCCACCATTGGTTTGTTTCACTAGAGAGACTGACTTTCTGAGTTTCCTTGAGCAGTAGTGACTGGTTTTCTTGTACATGCAAGTGCTGGTGATCACACCCTAGCTAGCTGACGCATGGGTATGACCAGGGCAGATGTGCTACATGTATACACAAGACTAGCCCCCCCCCCCCCCCTGGAAATTTGCGGGGGAATAATCAGAAATTTGCACAAGAAATTGCTGGCGAAAAGAGTGAAAAATGTGGGCCAAGTAGAGTAAATTTGCAGAAAATGCAGTATCTTGCAACGATACTATTATCAGGGTTCTAGGGGTAGGGGGCGCAGCGCCCCCCTACTCCGTTGGCGCGCCCCCCTGTGAAAAAGTGCCGCCCCCTACTCATTTTCCGATTTTTGTGTTTTTTCACGCCATTCAACGAAAATACAGTCGATAGTCACTATGGTCATCACTAGAGGGTTGATAAGCACATTTGTGAGGGGTGAAGTCGGGGTTGTTGCATTTTGCATGGCAAGACAATTTTGGACAATGGAAAAAATGGGTCATGGGGTAACTTTTTCCCATGCCCGCCCACCCGCCCCCCCCCCCCCCCCCCCCCCCTACTATATTGACCTGGCTAGAACCCTGGTTATATGAACCACAAAAACGTGAACGGAGGATCTAGCACGGAATTTCGAAGCGAAAAGAACAGTGCGATGTCAAAATTCGGCCCTGGGGACAAAAGTTCACAGCCACACACGCTCCGCACACACCAAGTACACATAACTAAGCGCACAGAACACACCATGCATGAAAGTCTGCACAGGGTGGGCCATGGCATGGGCTCACGGATTCACTGAAAATTGAGGCAAAATGAAGAAAATTGCACGTTTTCCACGGAAAATGCTAGATGCGCGGAAACCCACGAAAATCGCGGAATTTGTCGCGGCCGCGGATTCGCGATTTTCCAAGGGGACAGACAAGAGCAAGGTGGTGAGTAGTAAAACCTTACTCACTGTCCAGTGTAATGCGCTTGGAAAGCCTTGCTGGCACCGCCGAGCGTGCTTGGAGCTACTTGGTAGCAGTGAGGCTGGTTACAGTGGTGTGTATCCCAAACAATGCTGCATGGTTGGTCCTACAACAGAAAGCATGACAAGACGACACTTCAGTGCAGATCTACACTCGGTCGCTATACGCTTTGTGCACATACAGTAACACAATACAGGGGAGGACCGTTTCCACTGTGTAACACAATACGTATAGATTATAGACCGGTTAGGAGGTCTATACAGGATATATAGACCGAGTAAAAGACCGAGGTCCCCCGAGGTCTTTTACGAGGTCTATATATCCTGTATAGACCAACTATGAGGTCTATAATCTATTTATCGTGTTCTCCACGCAATAGTTTCTCTTCATATACGACATATCCTTGTAATTCTAGTATTATACTATACGCTATAGTCTATAGCCTATACTGCATTGTACTGCATTGAAAGTCAAGATCATTGTTTAAACTAGGTTCAGCATCGGTAGCACAGTGGCTGGGTGGTAAGGAAGAGTGAGTGAGATTCACAAGGTTGTGGGTTCAAATCCCATCTTGTGTATTTAAGTCCAAGAAGTTCTAAGGAGTCAAATATAAGTAGTCAAATATATCGTGTATTTGACTAAGCAGTCAAATACGCGATATATTTGACCGCTTAGGTATCAGGGAAATTAGTGGGGTCAAATACTAAGAAGGCGATAAATGTACATATAATTATAATCACATGTAATTGTTGAACAGATCCCTAGGCACTAGACTGCGGAGGCCTATATCCATAGACAACTAAAATAGATACATGCAAAGATTGCACGAGACAAAGGCGGAAAATACATACTGGCACCTGCAATGTTGTGCACATCAAACATTCATGAAACATTTCTGCCACTCCTACAAAGAATATAATTATCATATTGCTCAGATAGGTATTGCTTAAGTTAGGCTGCAGTGACTGTCAAAAGTATCGCGGTATGGTTGAATCGAGTAATGGCTAAATATCAAACAGTTGAGAAATAAAAAAATGGAAGTAAAAATGAGAGTAATCGCAACTGCAAATTAATGGAGTGGTGTCATTGTAGGAAAGCCTGCACACTGTTATTTCGGGGCACGGCTAAGCATTGGCAACTACTAGTAGCTTAAATTAAACAGACAATTCGAGGAACAAGACAGCAACAGAATGCTCTTCTTTTGTATTTTGGGGCACTTCAGCGATGGTTAGTTGGCCAGTACGTGCACAGTTCAGTGTTAGGAAGAGGCTGGAATGCACACGGCCTGGTAGAACTGTACCGGCTGGTCAGCAGTTAGCTTGTGTGCAACATTGTTACCGACAAATAGGACGGATCCGCGGCATATGGGTACGGTCACATCTGGTGAGGCATGAACGGTGCCGCTGCCTTCCGTCACCAGGAAAATGCTGGGTCCGTTTCTCGGCTTGACGGTGTGCTCTCCCTTATCGAAGCTGCCATGGATTACGGTGAACTCGGGCACGGGCGGGTCGTAGACGCGATACTCCGGTGCATCCTCGCCGTCAGCGTGCCAGCGGAAGATGCGTGCACTCGGCGACGACATGGTGTAGTCCAGCATGTCCACAAGCGTAGCCTTGTCCTTGAACTTCGGTGTCAGACCGGCACGCACTACGTTGTCACTGCATGCCATGCACTCCACACAGTCTGCAGCGTGAGCAGCAGCAGGTGGTGCAACGAAAAATCCAACACAACACGACAGAACACAAAAAAGAGGAAAATTAATTGAAATAATACGAGTATTAGTACTGAATGCCGGTATCATGTTCAGACAATAAACATTCTAAAACAAAGGAAAAAATTGGAGATGAGAAGGACTAAGGATCGAACACAAGCAGGAAAGCAAGACCTGCCAGTACATGAACTGGACCAGTCCTCTAGAGTGTAAAGTTGTATGCACTCTAATTCAACGCAGACACCACATTCAAGAAACAAGGTCCCCTCCCGACCCACGCACCCACACTGCAGAACATCACACACGACCAAAACGTCCCAGCATCACGAGGGCAGCCGTAACACACAGGCTGATCGTATATCTAAACACAAGCTTGCTGGCTGGCTACCATATAGCCAAACTCCTTACCTCCGGACATATAGGCATGCGGGATGTTTGGTCCAAGGAAAATGGCCTCTCCAGGCTGCAAGTTGATAACATTCAGGAAATACATTGCAAAGCAGCCGACATCACCAGGGAATTGCCCGTGAGTGCGCAGCAGGAGACTGGCACAGAACTTTGCTTCATCCTCCGCGGAGACTGCATGATAAACGACAGAGCATTGAATATAGCATAGGAGTATGGCATTTAAACAGGAGTTTCACAAAGCACTGGCCCTAGTCACACTTGAAGGGCTGTTGACATGCAGTATGCACACACAGCAGAGTGCAGAAAGTACAAAGAATGGCTAAAAGTCTGAAGCCAATTCACGGTTCGCGTCAGACTGGGCTAGACTAGAGGCTAAGTTTGCCGCGTCCGTAGGAACGCCACCTCCCTGTAAGGATGAAGGCGCAGATGCAGCTCCTAAAGCGGTGGGAGGCAAGTAGATCAGCTCACCAGCAAGTGGTCAAAGACAGAACATCCCATTCACTGCATCCATGACTTGAATCTGGTACCCTCTGTTTCTCAATCTTGGTCTTAGACCATCCCACTATGCCTGCCTGCCTCCCTGAAACCCAAGACACACCAAATACTCAGCACTCAGCTGTCTATGAACTTCTTCTAGCACAGTAACTGCCAGTAACCTGCTCAGCACTATCAAACAACAGTACCGGGTACACTGTACTGTACAGCGGCTTGCCACAGTGTCCGAACACAGCCAGGCATGGCGAAGTATAGGGCTGGCTTACATGATCCAGAGGTCTGCTGTGCCTGAAGACGCAGCACTAGCTGTGAGAGCTGCTGGCGGACGACCTCATCATCGCAGTGCATCAGCGCAGCAAAGCATGCCTGCAGGAAAAGCCACAGAAAGACAGTTGCCATTTC